ATCACGTTACGTCAGATTAATGACGTAAGTAAACGTCATTAACATGACGTCATTTTTGACGAGACAAACTCACGTCGTCATTACGTTAATATCACGTCATAAACTAACGTCGAACTGGTCAAAAACTGACTTTATATTAACGTCATTATAACGTCAGCTGGTTGCCTGGGGTCTTTTAAACTTAGCAGTTACTTTCAGTTAATAATTCAACAACATATTTATTTTATCAAATAAATATATTTATTTTATCAAATAAAAGTTACTTGGTTTAAAACTGTTTCGATATTCAGCTATAGCTTTCCAATACTGGCAGTAAATATCAAAACGCAGCTTTGGGATTAGTAAAATGCATTCTGCAAGCGCGCTATCTGCGCTATTGTATCATTTTATCTTTATTAGATGTAAAATCCCTTATTAGATGTAAAGTAAAGATAGAAGGATGTAATAGCGTAAATAGCGCGATCTCTAAACGCAGCGCGCTAGTCAATGTTTGTAAGAAAGATCATATATTTTGAAGCTCCAATCAGAAATGCTCAGACAAGGATAGATATGGGGACAAATATATCTATCTCTATTTTCCGAGTGACCGGCAGTGATGATAGATCGGGCCGGCCAGCACCAAGAGCACCGAAGTAGTGAGGGCACGCACACAAGCAAGAACCGCCGTCCGTATGCGTGACGTCACGCTCGGCTGTTCGGCTCGTGGAAGAGCGCAGACATACTATGTTCTGCTTCGTTTCCACCAAGCCCGCTATGCGAGCAACATACTGAGGCTAGAACGACACGTTTCACGTTGCGCGCTTGTAGCAAAATGACAACGCAAAATGCTTTTCTAAGACTTAAGTCTTGAGAAAATACATAATATTATTAATAAGGATGAGTTAAACATCTCAAGATGCATTTATTATAATATTTTTATTAATTCTTAATATAAGTTAACTGTGCTAATATTTAAAAGTTTTTAGAATATTAAAAAACATTTAATATATATATATATATAAACTACATCATTAGTATTAATAATTGTTCTACATTTTTAATTTGTAAATCACGAAAAGAATCTACATTTTACAAAAGCACAATCCTAAGTTATTTAATTCATATAACATAGATAGATAGATAGATAGCAGCAGCCCCAACAACAGCAGCAGCAGCCCCAACAACAGCAGGAGATGCAGACAAATGCAACTAGTAAGTTATTTATTTAATATAACACAACTATTAGTTACTAAATATAATAATTGCAAATCTTTTATTTTAGTAATAATTCTCGTTTTAGGAATACACAAAAGAGAAGCTGGCCAAAATAGGGTCCGCTGGTATCACCAGCGGAGTAATATTCCCAAGCGGGAGAAGTCCGTATAGAAGAGAAGGCCCGCGCGGAAGAAGAAGCCAAAAAGCCTGTCGTGGCTCTTTAATTATTCAATACTATATTATTTATCAATAAAATTAATATAGTATTGAATAATTAAAGATATATATCAGCAATATTAATTATCCATACATTACATATTATATATATGCAGTATCTAAAGAGTAAAGAAAAAAACTTTTTAATTAAAAACTAATAAAAATAGTGTTATTTCATTTATTTTATATGAGAACAATTAGAGAAGTAATGTATAGCTTAACTTAGAACTTTTACAGACAAAATTCTAAATATCCGACATTTACATTTAAAAATAATTAATGTCTTTAAATCTTAATTTATCTGGAATTTTAAATATCCGACATTTACATTTAAAAATAATTAATGTGTAAAATCTTAATCTGTCTGGCATTCTATATATCCGACATCCATATTTATAAATAACAGATGCAAAATAAAATGTGGTAGAATAGGGCTACAGGCGAAGGTCCACGTTAAAAAACCTAACGCGCTATTATTGGCACTTCTTGGGTAGTGCGGAAGACCATTTCATAATATTATCTATCATCGTTGCAAAACATAAAACTTGTATTATATAATTGTTGCAAAAATGTTTAATATTGTAACATAAAAGATCTCTGTAGCAAAGTTTATTTAATAATTTAGGATCATTTTCTATCGGGAAATGCATGACATTTCATGTAGTTAGAAAAATTACATTGTTGTCAAGTGATTCCATAAATTGCGATGTCACCAACATGGAAATCTCGATGTGTGAGACGAGCGAGAACGTCGCGCGTCCACGATCTACACACAATCTTTACACACAACTTTTATTTAAAAGACGTACAATATTTATATATTTATATTTTTTTCCGAGATTTACAGTCTTAGAAAAAGTACGTAATATTATTGACGATAGTAAAACATTTCAAGATGCATTATATTTTTTTAGGAATTATTACATATGAGTTAAATGAAAAAATTCAAAAGTTTTTTGAATATTGCAAGTTATTAGTGTTCTTGTTTTATATATTTTTGTTTTGTAAATTATGACAAAAATCTACATTTTTCAGACATATAATCTCAAAATATTTAATTCATATTATACGAAATTCAATT